CAGCTCTGCGCCCCGAGCCCCGCCGCCAGCGGGCCCGGCCCGGCCGGCAGCGCCGCCCCCCGCCGGCTGCGGGCAGCCCCGGCCGCTCCCCGCCGGCAGCAGCGCCCGGGCACGCCGCTGGTTGTCCCCTTCGCTCCCGGCGCTGGGCGGAGGGAGCCGGGCACGGCGCTCGTGCTGGGATCGCAGCGCCTGGCAGCGCCGCCGGGACTCGGGTGCGGGATTCCTGTCCCTGCTTGGCGGGAGCTTGGTTACGGAGAAAGCCAGCGTGTCTGGAAAAGCAGTTACTCTATTGACTTGGTCCTGCAAACTGTTTTCCACAGACATCTTTGCTCGCGGAAGTGATCCGGCTGAAGTACCTCGTCATGCCAAAAGGCAGTTTTGGGGGTCGGATCTGCAGCCGCTTCTGAGCGATTCAAAACGTTTGCAGTAGGAAGACAAAAGACTGCATGGCTTTGCTTTTTTCTTAATTTTAATCGAGTATATGAGACTTAAAGAGCATTTCCTCTTCCGTTCCAGTTTATGAATGGCATATTTTTTTACGCATATAGTAAACTAAAAGGCTACTTGGTGTTTTAAAAAGAGAATTCTCACAGTCATTAAAAATTTGTTTCCTTCCTCTGGCTGGTCATTATTTTTCTCTTTATGAAAATCACATCTCCCTTGAGATCCTTCTAGTTGAACTAGGAAAGATAAAAGGGAACAAGGAGAGTGTGTAGTAGATTCAAAACAAGAAAAAATCAAGGCTTCTGAGAATTTCACTCAAGGAACTACTGGTGAAGCTATGTAGGGATTGACCCAGATGGACTTGGTCCAAAGCTTCACGGCCACATCTGTGCTTTAAAACCCATACGTTTCAAACACAGGCAGGAAGGAGTTAGACTTGGGAGCTCATCTGAACTGGAGATTCAAAGCATATGGAATAATGCTTCTGCATGGGATTGGGATGGGGAGAGGAGGGTCAGGCTCGGAGCACATTTTTAGAAGAAATTCCAAAGCACATGGATGTGGTGAAGGGCTGGTATGAAGCAACTGTGCAACACAGCCATTGGAAAGCCATTACATGAGCTATGTGATGCCAGATTGTTCTTGGGATGACTGCAAAGTCATTCCTCACATTATTTCGACTATTTATCAGTCTAGCAAAGAAAACACTCGCGTTGTGAAATGCAGCCATTGCAACAGCATCAATTGCCTGTCAAATAACTAATAGCATGCATCTTTTGAATTTCTTTCTTTTTTATGTATTTTAATAATTTATTTGGCCCATTTTTTATGTTGTGTATTTAAAGTGACATATTTGTTCCTTTGAAGATTTTGGGGAGGAGAAGGAGGGAAAGAAAGATTTAGATGAAGCAGACTCCTTGGGGCATCAGCTCACCTAGACAGTGAAAACTTGTAAAAAACTCTCTGATGGATATTAAGACATTTGAAATTGTAACCCTCGTTTTATTTCCTCCTCAGCTCAGTCTATACTCTTGAATATCCTTTTGTTTACTTAATCAGCAAACATTTTATTTGGGTTATCATTTATCTTCACTATTTACAAGAAACAGAAGATACCTCTGTGGATGTGCCCCCCCAGATAATATGGCCTTATTAATTTCTTTTGTGAAATAGTGCCTCCATCATCCAGCTCAACTGGACCTCAGAAATGTCACAAGTTTCAGCCCAGCATGTTGGGGAAAAAGCCCCCCCCTTCACAGAGAGTACAGAGGGCCTCTTGTGTCACCTCTCCATAGACCAAGGAACGTGTGTTTGTACCACCGTCACTGTTGATCCATATTGCTTTCATACATGCAACATTGGCTAGACCTTAAAGTAAGCCCTTCTCAATTACAATCAATAATGTACCCTGCAAAAACAAGAGCAAACCTGACCCCAAAATCCCCAACTTCACTCACAGTCTGAGCATCCAGTGTGTCCTTGGTCATGATGCTCAAGTGCAGGAACAATGAGACGCGGACCGCTTACTTTTTGTGGAGCAGGAATCACAGATGTGGGAAGTTTCCTTCTACATGGGAAAGTCTTAGCTACACTTAAAGGGACAAATCTTGAGATTCTGGGTATGTCTTTGATCAGACAAATTCTGGTTGATTTCAGGAGGCGTTAGAATGGTGTAACAACTGAAAAGGGACCTCAGGAGTTGGCTCAGTAGAATCATAATGATCCTCAAAACTACAGAGACTTCGAGGCACACAAAGCCTTTTGTTTTTCCTTCCATGGAGCCAGAAGTGTGTTAAGTAGTGACGTCTAGTAAAATATCAGAGTAAAGTACACCATTCATAAAACTGCACGGATGATTAAAGGGTCTCTAATTCAACCCAGTGACCCCAGTGGAATTTTTAAAGTTTGAAAGCCATGACGTAGAGTATTATTCATTGCCCTTTCATTAGTGCTGACTACGCTCTGATTTTTCAGAGGATGGAAAACCTTTTTGAATCTTGTTATAAAACAATCTGGTTGATAGGAAACAAATGTATCCTACCAAGAAACAAGTGAATAAGACCACTCTGGGAATTAATTTCCAATATTCAGTGGCATAGTGAAATTAATGACAAAACTTGCAATGGCAAGACTTATCATTTGCTAGATTAAGAGGATCTCTGTACTACTGAAGGTTGCTTTGATGTCCAACAAAGAATAGGACTCATCTAGAGCTCCCATCTGCACAGTGATATTAGACCAAAAAAAAAAAAAAAAAAGTCTATTTTGACTCTTTATTTGTGCATTAGCTACAGAAGAGAGGGCAAAAAAAAACAAATGCTGATCTAGTATATGGTGATTAAAGTAAACTAGCATGTAAAAGATTCAGATTCAACATGTGCATGAAGACAACAGAGCATGGCATAAGGCTACCTGAAAACAAGTGTCCTAAAGCAGTTGTTCAGAGGCTAGGCTAGAAATACTGTACAACACACTAATCGTGTACCTGCCCTTGGACTGGTAAATTTAGTTGGAGAACACATAGGACTCCTACACTAGCCTATCACAGGAAATTAGTGCCAAATAGCTGACAGGACTCACCTCCTCATTAGGAAGACCTAAAAGGTAAGCTTGGAAAATCCCTGTGGCCAGCAAGAAGACTGAGCCTTGCGCAGCATACAATCTACGTGCCATAGGCACTGCTGGCAGTGTTCAGGCTCTGTTGGTGCTGAGGTGGGGTAGCAGTGCTGCATCCTTCTGCCATGACACTGCTTGCTCTAAGGGGGAGGGCAAATACAAAGAGCAGCTGTCTGAGTAACAGGGTCAGAAGTAGGATAGTGCTTTCCAGTTCTCCAGCTTCACCTCCCTTTTTTTTTCCCTCTCTAGCCAGGCTCCCATCCAACTGAAGCTGTGGGAAATCTGACATTGGATTTCCTAAGTCTCAGATGTGTGTTGTCCTCTTTCACTTGGATGTGTCATGCAGGCCCTGCTAGACTACCTGTGCTTCTTACGAAGGAAAAACAGGGTTTGTAATTCTCCAAAAATTGTACACACAGAGGCAGTAATGTGCAAACAGTGCTGCTCTTCCACTGTGTTAAGTAATCACCATCTATATTTTGCAGAAATGTTTTGAGAAAGGGTTGCTTAGCTGTGAAGGAGAAAATGAACTGATTTTTGTGCTTTCAGCACCTTTGTCTGGGATGAGATGAAATATAAGTTGGAATATTTTGGGGATTCATTTGATATAGAATTTTGATCTCCATTGTTCTCAAAATCATGAGAGGCACAAATCCTACTCAACTACCATTTCAGCCACCTTCTGGTTAGTTTCTTTTCTTACTCCATAAACAAATAATTGCTCCCAGCAATGACACCTCTTCAATGATTGCATCAGATGATTTCCTGCTGTTAATGCACTTAAGGGTCACAATCCTGGCGCTGCAGGTACAACGGATCCATTTAATAACATTTAAATTTTGGGAGTGACCATATGAGTGCTTTGATTGCTCGTTCCTAAGATGGTATGCCTGTCAAAAGACACTTCCAGCTTTTGGGTCTTTGCCTTTGGTACCTAAGGTCTTGGCAGTTTTTTCAGCACTTTTGCCTCAGGCTTTTTTGCTGTCTGGCATGTCAGCACCTACTAGCTTTAGCAACTTTGCAGCCTTGGCTTACTGCTTCAAAGCTTTGGCATGAGCGTGCACTGTGGCATCTTTTCAACTCCAAACCTACTTGCTTCACAGGTTTTCTTTGTGTTTTTTTTTTCAGGATGTCAGCAACTGCCCTGACCCTAGGGAGGAAGAAAGACTGATCAGCAAGTTCAAACAGTGTCTGTGCAGCAGAAAGATGTCTATCACAAATGAGCAGATTCACTCACTACATCACTTGCCGAGGAGGGAGGGATTCTGCGCAAGGGTGCCAGATATCATTGTACATGCCTAGGTACCATGAGAAGTTTTTCCAGGCCTTCTTTAAGATTGTATTTGTACTTCTTCTGAAAGCCTGCAATGATGGGATAGAGAAGTCTCTGGCAAATTTCGTCGTTAAAAAGCTATGTCCATACTACTGTGGATCCATCTAAGTTTTTACTCTTTCACTTGTCTTCAAAGCTGATAAAATACACCATGCGGAGAGAGCTGTCGTGTTTAATAAATAAGATGCTTCCCAAGATGATGACCAGAAGAACGGCTAGATATCCTTTGTACCACCTGCACTAAATCCTCCTTTCAGGTAGTACCACTTCTTTGAATTGCATTCAGGAATCTAAAATCTTCAG